AGGGAGGCTCAGGTGAAGTTTTAGAGTCCTCACATCACTTGCAGAGATCCAAGGGGAGAGGAGGTAGCAACACAACTCCACCTAATGGAGGCTGACGGCGCCCCAGATTCAAACGTCCAAAAACACATCATTGAAACCACAAAATATCTCCATACTGCTCGTCCGTAGTGATCCAAGTGTCCTGAAGCCCCGACATAAAAAGTTGTTTGGAAAAACCTCATTTGAACTCTGTTTTTAGCCTCATTGTAGCCTGTAGCTCTGACTGCCTCTCTGTGTACACTGTGCTCACATGTGTGCACTTGCACAAGACCGTGAGACATGGGCACCGTGTTCATGTGTGTTCACATGCTTTCGTTAGTCTCGCACGTCAGCCTCCATTAGGTGGAGTTGTGTTACTACCTCCTCTCCCCTTGGATCTCTGCAAGTGATGTGAGGACTCTAAAACTTCACCTGAGCCTCCCTCGGCATATGGGTGAGTAGATAATGGCTGAATTTACATTTTTGGTTGCACTGTCCCTTTAACTCAGACCTGTTGTCCTCGTTCATGGACACGCCATCTAGTGGCAGTAAGAGCACAATACACAAAGTCATGTAAAAGCAGTCTGCAGCTGATCGGACACAAAAGTGAAGAAGGTCCAAAACCTGATCACATTTAATGGTTTAAACACCTTGATGCTAAAACATGCAAACTTGCACCAAAATGTGAGTGCGTGGATTTGAACACATGAGGAGCGCTACTGGCAAGTTACAATTTTTTTTTTTTTTTTTTTTAATGAGCTGTTGTTGAAGCATTTATGTTTTGAGTTAATATTTTCAAGGCAACATACAGAAGATGATCCTCAGGGAAGAACACCAAGAAAAAGACAACATGTTCATGCTTCTTGTGGCCTTTGTTTCCTCACACACATCTTTTATTTTGGTGGTTACCTGAAGGTTGCACATTTCCACTTCATAAAGTCTTCACCTTCTGATCGAATGAGTGAAAAGAGAAGCTCTTGGTGTGTTTGGGTGTGAGAGAGGCAGACAGACAGAGAGGGAGTGTATCTGCGACCGTGTTTGTGTTTACACAATGACAATATTTGTCAGTTGAATAGTTGGACAGTCTTGAAGGAGAATGAGTTAGCATTGCTTTTGGTTGCATGTGTAGCCAGTCACCTGGACAGGCTCCTCCTCAGCGTCTCCTGTGGAAAAGACACAAAATCAGCAGCCAAATTAAACAGTCCACCCTCCAAGCAGAGACCCCATGACCTGGACGCAGTGTACTGGACCCCAGGGCCAACATGGAAAAGTTCAGACGGGGACAGAGAGTTCTGCCGTCAGGAAGAGAGGAGTGAAAAACAAAATCGTGCAAAGCCAAGTGTGGGACACTCCCAAACCAACGTGAACCTTATGTGGTAGTGTCTGAAGCTAATGTCACACTGTACACAGCTCCAGCTGAAAGTGATTGTGGATTTGGTATTTGCAGAGGTGGTGATCAGAGAGGGCGTCACCTGAAAACATTTCACTTCACTGTAGCTGAACTTTACACAAAGGTCAAGTGTCTCCAGTTACATATTTAGATCAGCAGCAGCAGCTGAATATTAAAGAATGACACCGTCTGTTTATCATTTGGTTTCTACTGATCAGATCAGATCAAATGTTTGGTGGCAGTCGCTCAGTCCGACAGTCAGACAGAGTTAGTGTGTGTGTGTGTGTGTGTGTGTGTGTGTGTGTGTGTGTGTGTGGTATTTCTCCTCAGATTTATTTTTGAAGTTTGTCTTGTTCTTCTAAATAAAAGAGATAAAGTGTCTTGTTACTGAGCTGTAGAGGCAGCAGGTTGTTGGTTTGTTGCCCTTTGACCCCTGTTCCCAGTCTTTAAGCTAAGCTAAGCTAACCTTCTCTTCTCTCAGCACAAAGCTAACAAAGCAGCATATTTTCTAAACATTCATTGACCTCACTCTTTCCTTGTCTCATCGTGTCCTTGGCGTGCTCGGCGGCAGTTACCTGTACGGCTGCATGCTCAAGTGACGTGTGCCCTTTTTGGCTCTCTTCGGTTTGACTCTGCAGCCACTGAAGGCGGTGCTGTCTCTCACTTGCTTTCCTTTCTGTTGAGGTGGAGATGCACACACTGCATCTGGACGATTGCGGCTTGAGTCCATCCACCTGCAGGCAGAAAGCAAACGATTAGAAGCAAAGAGTTTGTGCTGGTCTAGTAAAGAGCTGCTAGCATGGCTGTGTAGTGTTTCTCAGGTGAGTCTCTTACTTGCGCAGTGGAGCTAGCTGGCACGTGCAGCTCCATGGGTTGTTGGAGAGGGTGAGGTTGGTGATGGTGCCAAACTCGAGGCTTTTGGGAAGGAGCTTTAACTTGTTGTTGTCCAGGTGCAGTGACTTGACGGCCGTGACGCCAGTGAACGCACCATCAGCAAACTAGAAAAAGGAGGAGATGTGCATAAGTTGTTGTTTTGTTAAAAAACAGCTGCAGTTTTATACTGTAGTCGTTCACACATCGATGGCAGTGAGCTGCCACCAGGGTCTGCAGATGTTGATATCTGGCTGACTTTAGGTTGTGACAAAAACTAGGGATGCTTGATATGGATTGTTTCAGCCGATACTGATAACCAATAAATTCATAATCCTTAGTGTGTGCACAGCAGAGGGTGAGGAAGGCTCAAAGGTGGATGATTTAATCTTCTAAAAGCTAAAGCTAACCGACATCAGCTTTGGGAACATTTCCCAGAAACAAAGCCTTTGAAATGGTTTTCCATACAGAGAATGGACTGTTACTAACGTTGGTGCAGCCAACTTCCTGAACAAGAAGTATGTGACAGCTCGGTGTTGAATTTTAGCCGCTGTGGCTGTGTTAGTTTGAGCTAACCAGGCAAATGTTAAACTGAGCATTAGCTGGGAAGGCAGTGGCTCCGGGGATGGTCCTTCATCACCACATCGAACCAGTACACTGGCTGCTACAGGAGGAGATCAGACCGCAGGTACAATCATGTTGACTTCCATTAAAACTGTGATGTCATATTGACTTGTTGTAAGTTGGGCCCATGCAGGTGCTGGCCACGCCCATTGGGAGCAGTTTGGGCTTTAGTGTGTTGCCTTAGGACACTTCAGTATTCCCATGAATCAATGCAAGTCTTAGTGTTGATAAAAACATGGCTCACACGGCGGCATGCTGACCCTCCCAACCAGCTCCCATCCTTGTGTCTGTCAGACAGATGCAGAGCCAGGGAATCTCGCCAGTGTTTCTCTGGCATGAAAGCCTCCTCTCATCCTTCTTTCTGCACCAGCACGTATGTCAACACTGATACTCACTGCCCTTCTTTCTCCACGCTTCTACTTCATACACGCCTGTGAGGGTGCTAAAAGCTTCAGAGAGGTGCGAGGTGAACCGATCCACGCTGTGTCAAGTTCTGTCTCCTCCTGGAGGAAGCGGCCGGGCCGATCAGAGAGAGCTGAGCTTTGAAGGGCCGTTTTATGTGAGTCTGGAGGAGATGAAGCTGTTTGGAAATTTCCACTGAAGAGCGACAAGTAGCTGAGGCTCTGGTATTTGGAAGCAATGGAAGATGGATGACTTCCAGCATGGCCGAGGTGTTTTCGCTCCCTCTCCCTCTGTCGTCTCCCTCTCTGCCAGGAAGGCTCGCAAAGGGCTCAATTGTCCATTGAAAAGGGGCGATGGCAAGCTAAAAATACCCCTCTTCATGCTCTGTGGAACACCCTGCCTCTATTTACTGTCTCCTCACCCCTCCTGACCTGTTTACAAGACCCTCCCGACCAAAGCAGAAAACACACCTTGCTGAAAATAACACTTGTGTAATAATTAGACTCGGACATGCTTGGCTCGAGGCCAGCAAACAAAAACAGTCTAAAAATATCTGCATTTGGCTGGAAAAAGGTTTAATCTTGCTGCACTCGCCGCCGCCGCCTCCTGCTGCTGCTTCCACCTGGCTCTCACACAGTCCCGGCGTGAGAAGGTTGTTATTTTACAGTTTTCCCCTCGGGGATTGCTCCATACCATGGCACAGGTACACTCAAATATTGGATTAACCTCAAGTATGAAGCAAATGTGCACTCAGGAATGTGTGAGGAACAGTGTGGTGTAGCATAGAGCTTATAGTGTGTGTGTTCACACTGAAGCTGTGTCGAACAGATGGAGGTCTCACAGACTGCTGTGGAAACATCTGTCTCACGTTCCTGATATCTGAACACAGTTACATAATGTTGTCAGTCATGTAAAATGGAGTCTGTGTAAACAGGAGAAGCTTCAGTGTCCTTTGGAAGTAAATGATGAGGACGTAGATGAAGCACCGTCCAGCTGCTTCACCTGTCGATCATGACGCCACAGTGACGGTCACCTGATCGCCCACGTCAGCCTAGTAAACAAAACTATGTAAACACACAGTTTCTTCCAGAGCTGATGACGGACACAGCTAACCAGTCATCTGTCTTGCTTCCTTCTCATCGTCGTTGAAAGTTGCACGTGCACAGTAGTGATCAGGCACTTGTGAGGAAACAGCAGTGGGTAAAGTTTATGAGCTGAAGCTCAACTCAATTATCCTGGAAACAAAGTTCAGTCGGGTGGCGTTAGAGGATGTTTGAGACCAAGGTGGATTAAACCTGGTCGTTTAATTAACTTTAGTCTTTGTTATTATCTGTTATTTGATGACCGCTAATGAAATAAAACAGTTTGTAAAAGGGTACGTAGATTTCTGACCACTTGACCAGCAAGCTGTTGAAATTAAAAAAACACTAACATCAAGCCCTGTCAGTAGTTTCGGGCTCAGTCTTCAAATTACAAAAAGAAAAAACATATCTTGGTCATGCTTTAGATATAAGCTTGCAAATTAATGTACAGTTATTGACTATATACAGAAAGATATAAAAAAAAAGAGAAAAAAAAATATTTATTTATTAATAACTTAAAAATACTATTGATTGTTTTGAAATGTTCAGTCTTTCGTCTGCATAACAAATGTACCCGTGTGCACTAATAAACAAACTAATAAGCTACTGATTGATTTTTTCCTTTTCTTTGTAAAATTGTGAAAAATCATCTCGTCTTAGTTTCACAGACCTCACGTGTGCATCTTCAGATGTCTTGTTTTGTTTGATCACAAGTCTAAAACTCACTGATTTACGATCCTTTAAAACAGAGGAGATTATTATTCAATTATCAAAGTAGTTGCAGAGAGACAAAATGTTTCAGCTCAACCTAAATCATGACCAAATAATAAAACATGAGGCGATCTGAGACTGATGAAAGAAAAATTGTCAGATTTGAGTTTTAGTGTTGCATTAATTTGTGTTTACAACAGATCTGGACTCAGTGAGACAGACGCAGATGATGCAGGACAGAAAACTGTTCTGAGGCGTTGATTCACATGTGTCCCAACACACTGTGTGAAAAATGCCTATTGGCTGCAGAAAAGGGGCGTCGACCACTGGCAAGCCTGCACATGTAAATATGCTGATGAAATATAGTCGACTGTGTTTGCCAGACCAAAACAAATAAACAAATACTAAGACGGGGACACAGTAAAGTATAGAGACCTTTTCATGAGTTTAACATTCAACTCTGACTTTGATGTAAACAGTTTTATTGAATGCTGAGGATTTAACACACACATTATTATTTTTCTTAAAATGTGAATCTTAAAACGCTGCTGTTGCTCTCCGTCATGTCCCCTGTGTGACTCGACCTGTTTACTGTCTGTCTGAAAACAAGTTGGATGCATTTAGAATATTCTGACATCTGCAGCAGCGTTCACTGCTGTGAGTGTCGACATGTTAATACCCAGTAAAGCCACAGACTGACCTTCTCCAGACCCATGTTGTCCAGGTAGAGTTTCTCCATGTAGCGGCCAAAGCTCTGGAAGGCGATGTCAGGGATGATCCTCATGGGGTTCCTCCCCAGCGTGAGTTCCTCCACCACTCGCAGTTTGCTCATGGCTGCAACAGGATAGGTGGACATCTTGTTCCTGTCCAGGTGAAGTATAGCGAGGTTCTCCACATCGTCCAGAGAACCCGGGTGCAGGGTGGTCAGCTCGTTCCCGCTCATGTGCAGCCAGCGCAGGTCTTTGGCGCCTGTGAAAGTCCCCGGCCGCAGCTCCCGCAGCTTGTTGTCGTTGAGCTGCAGAATGAAGAGGTTGATCATGGGGGAGAAGATGCCCTTGCTGAGGTCGCTGATCTGGTTCCCGTCTAGGTAGAGGTAGGTGAGCTCGGTGAGGTCGTCAAAGGCGCCGGGCTTGATGCTGCTGATCTCGTTGTTGGACAGGTAGAGGTAGATGAGCTTCTTCAGCCCCTTGAAGGCCTGGGATCCGATCTCTCGGAGCTGACAGTGCTGCATGTGCAGAGAGATGAGTCCCTTGCTTTCACTGAAGGCTCCTGTGGGAATGCTGCCCAGGTTGTTCCTCTGCAGGTTGAGCAGACGGGTCACCTCCGACACCCGGGGGATCTTCTTCAGCCCCACGCTGTCACAGATGACGTGCTGAAGGTCACCATGGCAGTGGCACAGGCTGGGGCACTGGCTCGGGGCTCCCTGCACCGCGGGGCCCAGGACCAGGAGACAGGTCCCCAGCAATAACCAACTCACACAACGCATGCTGAAGAGCTTGTAAATATCTTGGTGGAGTGTAGAACAAGCAGAAAAATCCTGTTAAAGCCTCAGAGAGAAGCAGAGAAGAAGAGAAGTTGAACTCAAGTGTTTGTGCTCAGAAAGAGAAACAGATGGAGAGAGAAGAAGCGAAAAGGTGAATGACTGAGCGAAGGTGGGCGATGCACTTTGAGAGGAGGATGGCGGTCAACAGAACACACAGCACTATTTATAACATTTACTTGAGGAAAAAAACGAGGAGGGCTTGCCAGGGTGTCGGAGTGAGAGGTTTGCAAGAGGAAGTCAAGTGTCTGTGAGAATTTAACCCTGAATGAGCAGGAAGACGACACAAGACGCTCTCTTTTTGCTGCTTTTTTGACATTCTTGTGCATGCACGTGTGCAGACAGTCACAAAAAAAGAGAGAAAATCGACATGCTGCGTACAGGTTTAAGTTTCCAGGTGAATGTTTAAGAACGTGGCACAAGGTCAGGTTCAATCCGTTGCACGCTCCCAGACGCCTCTATTGTGTTTCAGTCTGCGGTGGCAGGAAAAGGAGCCATTCCTGTGCAGCTGCTTTATAACCTATAATAGTCTCCAGATGGCTTGCAAGAAGTGAGATGCTGTTTCAAGTCATAACAATTGCATAAAAATACCTTCAAAGGGAAGTTTTAGATGCCACTTTACATTCCTGTGTGCAGTCTTTCTTTTTGAAATGGAGTGTGGTGTTATGTAACGCTCTCTTTCAGTCCGACCTGTGAGTTGTGAAGGTGACTGTGGCTTTCAGGTTTCAACTGCAAGAGATGAAGTCGCTTCAGTTATTTCTCAAAAAGCTGAACTGGAGACGTGAAAGACGACAGAACTAAGCTCTGTAGTTGGTGTTGATTAAACCTGCCTTTAATAAGGCAGAAAGGTTTGAGAGAAGGTGCAGCAGGACTTCACCGACTGGCTCGGGTCAGTTTGGCTTCAGGTGGCTGCATTTATAAAGATGGATGGACCCACCCAGGATAAGTGGAATCTAGAGTTTACTTAACAAATCTAACATTTTATTGGGAATATCGTCTCCTCCCTGATTTTCCAGGTGAAGCTCTTACTTCTAAAAAGCCCTGCAGGTCCTGTTGGTCCAACACTCTTTAACTCTGCTCCCTCTGATTGAATCTGCACCTGTGAGCACAGAAGCATTATGTTTACCAGCGTCTCTTTACTCTTTAAAAGTCAGAGTATCGTACGTGAAAAAAAAAAAAAAGGATAAAATATCGCAGTATAGTGTGTCACAAAAAATGTAATGATATAGTATGTCATAATATAATTCATAAAAAATCTTATGAAAAAGTCAAAAAATGTCATTAACAGTGTCATAGTATAGTATGTTCTGAAAGATGTGATAAGAAGAGATCATATAGACCATACACATGTTCAGAAAACAAATGTCAAAGTAAAGTGTGTCATTAAGAATTGAATAAAACATGTCGTAGAGTAGTGTGTCATTAAAAACAAAATCAAACAGTGTCATAGTTTATACTTCTCTATCTCATGCTGAGAACAACAACACTAATTATGTTAAAGAGAAGTGGGGACGAGAGGCAGGGATTAGATTGTCAGAAGAGGTCTGGGGGGATATTTGGCAATTTCAATGGTCCTCAACTAACTCCATGGACTGGAGAGAACATTGTTGGAAAAAACATAATCAGGTACTTTAAGACACTCAACCAAGAGAAATATAGAGAAGCTAATATGCCATGCTGGAGGCAGTGCAGTTCATGTTGGCAAACCATTATCATATATTCTGGGACTGCCCCAAACTGAAGTTGCTTTGGAAGGCTGTTCATGACTCTCCAGGTAAAACTTTTGGCACACAGGTTTCCTCTGGACTTTGAAACTTTGTATCTGGGCTGTGTTTCCTTTTTGGACCAAAGGAAGGATATAAGATTATTACACATTCTCTTAACGGCAACAAAAAATCTATCACTAGGAGATGGCCAAATCCTAGGCTCGCCACCAGACAATCAGAGATCTCCGCCTTCTGAAGCGTCTAAAGACTGACTTGTGAGTCTAGCTAAATCCAGCACCAACGATATGATGATTGGCTTGGAATAGTTTTAGAAATATTCAAAATAATAACATATTGTTTAAGAACTCAAAATATCAATTCTATCTAATTTGGAACAAATGGGTGGCATATATTAGAGCTGACTTTATCTGAGCCTGTGGTCCGTTAGACTTTACTTTACTGTGTTTTATTACTTCTTGTCACTCTATTATCTGACCTGGCTGGCAACATTATCTCCCACTGTTCACCTGTGTAAATAGTTGCTTGTGTGATTTCCTGTTCCTAATTTTATATAGTAAAAACTGGGAAGATCAACGCTGTGAATGAAGATGCAGCTACTGTCATGTTATAAGCTTGTCTTTCCAAATATATAGTATAGTAGGTCATAAAAATAATTGTTTAAAAAAAGGCAAAGGATGTTATGGTTTTTTTTTTTAAGGAGTCCTAAAAATTAATTAGAAAATTGTAATATAGTATGTCACTCATAAAAAGATGTCATAGTATAGTTTGCTATAAAAAAAATTATTTAAAAAAATGCTATTAGATAGTATCTCATAAAAACTGTAATAGACGATGTGTAAAATATTTTAGGAGTTTAAGGGAAAGAACCAGTCGGGCTGAGGTGCAGCTTTTGTCATCCGTCCTCGTCTCTGCTCACCGCAAGTTGTTTGTGTGATTGACAGATTGGATACGGCACCACGGAGAACAGCCCCGTCACCTTCTTAGGCTCCCCGACAGACAACATGGAGAGGAAGTCTGAGACCGTCGGCTTCATCTGTGACCACATAGAGGTACGTCAACATGCTCCTTCATAAAGACATCGTGCACTTTATTTGGTGGAAAGTAACTAAGTACATCTGCTAAAGTACTTATGTATAATTTTGAGATGTCTGTTTTTTACTTTTTATTCCACTACATTTATCTGACAACTGAAAGTAACTTTACACACACGAAGATTTTACAAACAAAACATGATGAATTTATAAAATATGACACTGTGCTATAAATGAAACTGTAGTGTATAAAGTAATTAGAATACGCTCCACTAGCGGTGACGTTAAGATGCTGCTTATGTGGTAAAGCATCAGTAATATTAATACACTCTAAAAGGTAAAGTACTTTTACTCTAATACTTTAAGTACATTTTGCCATTTCTTCTTTTGTAGTTTGACTTGAGTCAAATCTTGAACATAACACAGGACTTTTACTTGTAACAGAGAATTTTTACAGAGTGGCCATACTGCCTTTACTTGAGAAAAGATCAGAGTGCGTCTCTCACCACTTTATTAGGCACACCTGCTCATTAATTGTAAAAGTATCTAACCAGCTGATCGTGTCGCAGAAATGTGACGGAAGTTATTGTTGATGTCAGACCTGCTGTATCTCAGAAACTGCTGATCCCCTTGGATTTTCATACAACGCAGCCTCTCGAGCTCAGAGGGGGGGACCAGAATCTGTGAGGAGCACTTCCAGCACCATGTTGAATCCATGCCTTGAAGAAATGAAGATGTTCTGGTGGCAAACTGGGGTCATACCCAGACATAGAAATGTGGACCTAATCAGTCCCTCCAGGGTCTAGCTGGCTTAATCTCAAAAGCTATATCTTAGGCAAGTGGACTTGCTTGAGTTTCTTGAAGACGTTTCGCCTCCTTTCCAAGAAGCTTATTCAGTTCTATCAGAGTTCAAAGCCTGCAGCTCTGAACCTAAACATCTTCTTGGACAAGAGGCGAAACGTCTTCAAGAAACAGGTCCAGTTGCTTTCGATATAGCACTTCAGATTTGGGGTTGTTGCTGCGTAAAATGTCTCATTTCACAGCAGTTTCTCTTAAAAAATTACGTTCCAGTGTTTTTAGGCTTTTTGTTTTTTTGCAATGAAATTTTTGGAGGCAAAGTGAAAACTGCAAAAATAGTTGCTTTTAATTTTTTTAATAATTCATAAAAAATTGAAAGCACCTTGTTATAGTAAGAATTAAAGTGTTGGGAGTTTGTGATTTCTACGATACTAACATTACCACTAACCTGTATGTTAAATGTAATCGGCCCTCATTCTTCATACAACAGCTAGTGTCTAACGACGATAAGCCTCTGGGGGCGAGGGCCAGTATCTCCAGCAGTCAGCTCTCTCTGACTCTCTGATCTCTCCATAAACAGATATGAATGCAGATAAATAACAGAAATGAATACAGGGCTAAAACTTTGTCTGATGTTAGATTACATTTTGGGCAATGCACTCCACCTCTCCACATGGACTGCTCACCTGCTGTTCGCACTTGATTGGTCAGTAGTACTCGGACTACAGACCGAAACCAGAACACTTCCGATACCAAAATCCAACAGATTGTGCATACATGTGCAGTTAATAGAGTATAGCATCCTCACAACCAGGAACAAGGAAGTGAGTTTGGGGATGTTGTGCGAGGGACTGATTTGTGAACTAGCTACAATAACTGGTCAAATTTGCAGGAAAAGTTGCGGCGATCGGAAAAAATTCCAGAGTTACACAGAATTCACAAGGATTGCTTGAGTTTGCTTTAAAGGCTGCGATCGTGACATCACAACAGCCTGGAGTGGCTGCTTAATAAAATGGACACTGAGTGCTGATGTATAAAAACATTACAAGTGTGGGGAAAAAATGTTCATCTGTGTAGAAAGAAAAATGAAACAATAATTTTGTTGGAATCAAATAACACATTAAAGTACCACTTCGAGGTGACTGATATTTAATTAAATTATTCTTTGATTATTAGTGACAGAATGAAAGGTTTCATTAACAGTGATTTTTACACCATCATTATCTCCATGTTCTGAATGACTCCGTGTCATCAACTGCTCCGCAGGCTAAAATCGTGGACCCTTCAACAGGAGAGCTGCTGCCTCTCGGGACGATGGGCGAGATTCTGATCAGAGGTTACTGTGTGATGCCGGAGTACTGGGGGGACGAAGCCAAAACACAAGAGTGCATCACTAAAGAAGGATGGTATAAAACTGGGTGAGTGGAAACTGTCAGTTACAGCGTCTGTGCACAAATCGTCACACAGTAGGAAACGTTATTGTGTAAGCAGCTCAAATACAGTCTGACAGTGTTAATAATCATTACAGTAATTATGGGTAGAGAGAGACGTAGGAAGACAGAGATTGTGTTTATACAAGGAAAAATATTTGCATAAACTTTTAAACATCAACAACAGGACGAAATGATAACTCGCCTCATTGTGTTTCAGAGACATCGGCAGAATGGACGGGTTCGGTTACTGTCGCATCGAGGGCAGGATTAAAGACATGATCATCAGAGGAGGAGAGAACATTTACCCAGCTGAGATCGAACAGTTCCTGCACACACACCCCAAAGTCAAGGAGGCACAGGTGAGCTCAAACAGCCAGAGGATGGACGAGGTAGAAATGAACATAAATGAGATAGGAATGAATTCATTTTTAATTATCTTGATCTTGATCAATGCCACCAATCAATCAATGCCTGCCTTCAATCACAACTTTTTTTTCAAATGACAATGTTTGAAAATTGTATTCAATTTTCAATTGTTGTTATTTTTTGTTGTTTTTAAATGTAATTATGAGGGTATGTTATGTCTTTATTGGATAAAGGAAGTGAAGATCAGGAGAGAGATGCATTGCAGTTCACAGATGGCGTGTCATGATAAGCGGCAGAGGCTTCACCCTCCATCACTGGCTCTTTTCCCCTTTAATTTTTGAGAAATTTAACCAATAAGTTTATCGTGTTTATGAATTAACAAGAATATTATGTCAGAATTTTGAGAAGTTTTCATTTAAAAAATTCTGCTCAATTTTCTGAATTATGAAGATTATTCCCTCAGAATTACAAGAAAGGTTTCATGAAAAAAACGTTTACCTTGTTAATTCAGGAAAACAGGAGCAGAAGTTTTTTTCAGAAGTGAATAAATGATGCGTTCGTATTGTTGGACATCAGGGACAGAACCTTATCTTGGCTTTACTATCACTGGACCTTCATGTGCGAAGTCGTAGCTTTGTGTCACGAGTGCAGTAATCCTTGTTTTCACTTCTTCCACTCACAAACGTGTTTTCTTCTTGTTCCTTCACTTGGATATCAGAGTTTCTGTCTGCAGAATGATGTTTGTGCAGAGTTTGACACGAGACGTCTGTTTTGACTTTGAACAGCTGAAGGGAGAAAGTGTGTCTGAGCTCACCTTACATCTGAACACGTGAACGAAGGAGCAGGATTTTGTCACATCACGGCTGGTCTGAATCATGATCCAGTAAAAGTTAGATATTGTGTCACCTGTAGGTCACATCTCTAGATCAGATATAGAGCATTTATAGATGTTTGATTTTCAATGAGGGACGAGGAGGAGAGTTAATTTAAGAACACAAATTATTATTCAAAGACAGATATTTTTTGATGTACCTCTCAGTGTGATCTTCATGTTTCTGTACACTCTGTCAACTTTATTTTTCTTGCTGTGGAGCTACATGTTCTTTTGTTTTTTTGTCAGGTGGTCGGAGTGGAGGATGCTCGTATGGGTGAAGAGGTCTGTGCCTGTATCAAACTCATTGATGGAGAGGAATGCACTGTAGAAGAAATCAAGGCTTACTGCAAGGGACAGGTGAGGCCTGATTCTCTTTTTAATATTTCAGAATGAGCTGGAATTATATTAGACTTTATCTTCCTGTTAAACAACTCTGCTTCATCTGCTCATTGCAGATCGCTCACTTCAAGATCCCTCGCTATATTCTGTTTGTGACCAGCTACCCCCTCACCATTACTGGAAAGGTAAGAGCTCATATATTCCTGCAAATAACAGACAAACAGGGTTTATTATGATGTGTTTACTGAGGCCAGAATAAGAAACAGATCAGTGATACAGGAACATGCCAATACGAGTTCTGGTTCTTGTGTTTCTCTCATGGGAGGCTGTTTAAAATAATTTACTGTAGACATGGCGTTGTATTTGGACAGGCCTGACCCGAATGCCCCCAGACAGGAGGGAAAGGGAGCTATTAGCTCGTCTGCACGCACACCGCGTCCTGTTAGATGAACCCAGAAGGGCGGTGGACCTCGTCCCAAAGCAGCCTATCAGATAAAACCAGCCCCTCGATCTGAGACTCCTTTAGTTCATTTTACTTTATTTATAATCCACTTAGTATTAACAGTCCTGGACACATAATATCAACACAGGTCACATTGAGGAGACTGTGCAATTTTTCCCCTTATTAGACTAACTGATCCCAGATAGGTGACACCTTAATACTGCAGGCTGCAAGGTTCTGGGTTGTGTGGGGACACAATGTAATGCATGTTTAGTAACTGTAAACAAATTGTCCGATATTATGAGAAAAAAAAGAGCTAATTTTCTGTCTTGTAGACGCTCAGTGAAGAAGATTGACTTTCACAGAAACTGCAAAACAGCTGACCGATATTTCTGGCATACCAGAAATCCATCCGGTCGTCTCAGAGCCAGAGCATTTATTGCAAAGGCAATTAACATTAGTCACCAACTGTATCGTTGGTGAGGTTCTCCAACAGCACCGGAACAGCTGTCATTTTGTGCAAGCTCTCCGCATGGCTGTGTGGCTCATGATATAGCGTGTCGTCAAAATCTCCAAAAAAATGTATGATATATAGTATGTATATAGTATATAGTCAAAAATCATGAAAAAAGTCATAGAATAGTATGTTATCAAAAATAATGAAAAAAAGTCATAGTATAGCATGTCGTCCAAAATCATAAAAAAATGACATAGACTAGCATGTTGTCCAAAATTATGTAAAAAAATCATAGTATAGCATGTCGTCCAAAATCATGAAAAAAAGGTCAAACTATAGCATGTCGTCCTAAATCATAAAAAAAACGACATAGAAAAGCATGTCGTCCAAAATCATGAAAAAAGTCATAGTATAGCATGTCGTCCAAAATCATGAAAAAACGTCACAGTATAGCATGTCGTCTGAAATCATGAAAAAAACCCGTCAAACTATAACATGTCGCCCTAAATCATAAAAAAAAGCCACGGTATAGCATGTCGTCCAAAATCATTGAAAAACGTCATAGTATAGCATGTCGTCCAAAATCGTTGAAAAACGTCATAGTATAGCATGACGTCCAAAATCATGAAAAAAAGTCATAGTATAGCATGTCGTCCAAAATCATGAAAAAAAGTCATAGTATAGCATGTCGTCCAAAATCATGAAAAAAAGTCATAGTTTAGCATGTCGTCCAAAATCATGAAAAAAAGCCGTAGTATAGCATGTCGTCCAAAATCATTGAAAAACGTCATAGTATAGCATGTGGTCCAAAATCATTGAAAAAGTTCATAGTATAATATGTCATCCAAAATCATGAAAAAAAGTCATAGTATAGCATGTCGTCCAAAATCATGAAAAAAAGTCATAGTATAGCATGTCGTCCAAAATCATGAAAAAAAGTCATAGTATAGCATGTCGTCCAAAATCATGAAAAAAAGTCATAGTATAGCATGTCGTCCAAAATCATGAAAAAAAGTCATAGTATAGCATGTCGTCCAAAATCATGAAAAAAAGTCATAGTATAGCATGTCGTCCAAAATCATGAAAAAAAGTCATAGTATAGCATGTCGTCCAAAATCATGAAAAAAAGTCATAGTATAGCATGTCGTCCAAAATCATGAAAAAAAGTCATAGTATAGCATGTCGTCCAAAATCATGAAAAAAAGTCATAGTATAGCATGTCGTCCAAAATCATGAAAAAAAGTCATAGTATAGCATGTCGTCCAAAATCATGAAAAAAAGTCATAGTATAGCATGTCGTCCAAAATCATGAAAAAAAGTCATAGTATAGCATGTCGTCCAAAATCATGAAAAAAAGTCATAGTATAGCATGTCGTCCAAAATCATGAAAAAAAGTCATAGTATAGCATGTCGTCCAAAATCATGAAAAAAAGTCATAGTATAGCATGTCGTCCAAAATCATGAAAAAAAGTCATAGTATAGCATGTCGTCCAAAATCATGAAAAAAAGTCATAGTATAGCATGTCGTCCAAAATCATGAAAAAAAGTCATAGTATAGCATGTCGTCCAAAATCATGAAAAAAAGTCATAGTATAGCATGTCGTCCAAAATCATGAAAAAAAGTCATAGTATAGCATGTCGTCCAAAATCATGAAAAAAAGTCATAGTATAGCATGTCGTCCAAAATCATGAAAAAAAGTCATAGTATAGCATGTCGTCCAAAATCATGAAAAAAAGTCATAGTATAGCATGTCGTCCAAAATCATGAAAAAAAGTCATAGTATAGCATGTCGTCCAAAATCATGAAAAAAAGTCATAGTATAGCATGTCGTCCAAAATCATGAAAAAAAGTCATAGTATAGCATGTCGTCCAAAATCATGAAAAAAAGTCATAGTATAGCATGTCGTCCAAAATCATGAAAAAAAGTCATAGTATAGCATGTCGTCCAAAATCATGAAAAAAAGTCATAGTATAGCATGTCGTCCAAAATCATGAAAAAAAGTCATAGTATAGCATGTCGTCCAAAATCATGAAAAAAAGTCATAGTATAGCATGTCGTCCAAAATCATGAAAAAAAGTCATAGTATAGCATGTCGTCCAAAATCATGAAAAAAAGTCATAGTATAGCATGTCGTCCAAAATCATGAAAAAAAGTCATAGTATAGCATGTCGTCCAAAATCATGAAAAAAAGTCATAGTATAGCATGTCGTCCAAAATCATGAAAAAAAGTCATAGTATAGCATGTCGTCCAAAATCATCAAAAAAACGTCATAGTATAGCATGTCGTCCAAAATCATCAAAAAAAGGTCATAGTATAGCATGTCGTCCGAAATCAAAAAAAGTCATAGTATAGCATATCGTCCAAAATCATCAAAAAAACGTCATAGTATAGCATGTCGTCCGAAATCAAAAAAAGTCATAGTATACCATGTCGTCCAAAATCATCAAAAAAAAACCCGCCATAGTATAGCATGTCGTCTGAAATCATCCAAAAAACGCCATAGTATAGCATGTCGTCCATACAAAATGTAATCGTAACCTTAACAGGTGTGTGGTAATGAACAAGTAGTATGGACGCTATAAACAGCTACAATCGTGGATAACATTTGTGCGTAGTGACAGCAGGTCCAATGCATTTGCAGAACCTCACCAATGTGATAGAGTCGGTTAAATTTCAATTCCTGTTCTTTAAACAGGTGTAATGAGTGCAGTTGCAGTTACAGTCTTCAGCTTTACTACAACTCACAACACATTTTTCTGTCTCTTCTTTCAGATCCAGAAACACAAACTACGCATAGAAGCAGAGCAGCAGCTCGGACTGAAGAAGGAGAAGTGAGTCATGGATGAAGAGAATTTAGTTATTGAATATTGTCTTACACAAACACAGGGATTGGCAATTTTCTTACTGTCAATAAATCCCATTAAAAGATCAAAACCAACAATTGATCCAACTACAACTTGCATGTGTGCACAAAAACACATCACGCTGAGTGTTCCTTCATTTCCCTGAGCACACACACTGCAGTTCATTTTGACTTTTGCACTGTCTTCCTGTTGGAATAACGTTTGCTAAAAATTCCTGTGACCAGATGTGGATGGATGGATGTGGATTTGGTCTTTTCATGGGATTTGTTGACAAAAAGAAAAATCTAGAATAACACCAGCCATATCTTTTATTACCCTCCTACTATATAATATAGGTGTAATAAAACATGTGAACTTAGAGCAGACTGAAGATCGGTGCAGAACTGTTGAACCCCCCTGTTCTCTAGAGTTCTTTTTTTATCCTGCAAAAATAACAAACTATTAAAATATTTTTACATCCATTTGAAATAAACTTTGTACCACATTATTAAAACCAGGCGGGGTGTTTCTCTTTTTACGGGAAGAATGAAGGTATTTTTTACTGATGTCGGCGGCAGGTGCTCGCCTCTTAAGCTGTTGGAATGCCATTCAGAAACAGACACACACACACACACACACACACCCTTACAGAAAATGAGAATTCTGTGGCATTTGAAATGAACGAGTATCACAGACACATACACTCTCAAAGCTGTAAAGAATTTCCTCTCCAGTCTGACTGGGCTACACGTGCAGTCCAACTGACGCTGGGCTGCAGGATCAGATGTCGTCGTCCGTCTAGACCTGAAGGACTCGGCCCAGAAATAGCTCTTAAGAAGAGAAGAGAAGAAAACAAACAGTGCTCCTGGCTCTTAAGAAAGAACCTCAAGGTTTATTTTACTTTGTTGTTTTTTTTAGATTTTACATATTTTTGGGGGTTTGGATTTAACGTTTCAGGACATGGTATTCTTACAAAGAGCGCCAAGTGCAAGAGTCAACCAGTTGGGTGCTCCAGCATCCGCCCCGGGTGTTAAGAAATCACTTCAAAGCCAGAGGAATGTACATTTTTGGAGACTGACACTGATCTTAGTCAGTGAACCTGACTTTACAAGTGAGATTTGTTCACTTCTCTTCATACCCTTTTGGAGGTCAATAAAATTAAATTATTCACATGCTGTTTTTGTGCCATTAGCAATCAACTGTATTAATCTGTCACAGTACAGTAGAGCAGCCCTTCACTGTAACACAAACTATCCAGTTTCCCTCATGTAGTAACAAAGAGCACAACGCTTAAAGTTGACATTATGCTGATGCTGAAGCTCTTTGTGTTTCACACTAAACCGGAGTTTTGGTGTCGGACACCTCTGAGAACGTTCCCCTCGCAGGCACACTAGATGTATTATGTATGTATGTGTTTAACATCAACCAGTCACAGTGAAAGGAAGGAGAGATTATTTAATTAATTTTACATTTGATTTGTTTTGTTTTTGTTGACTTTTTCTGTTTGTCACTGCTTTTTATTTTGTTCCCTCAATACTTAACCTGAATGTGCCAGATTCTCATGTTTTTTTCTGTTACTATGTGTGCTGACAGTTTGAAGTAAGGGGGGGGCAGGTTTGCAGTATGGCAGAAGACAAGGTGGAAAATCCTAAGAAGCCTCCAAGAACAGTTTCTGGAATGGATGCTCTAGATAAAAAATAAACTGCATAAAAGAGTGGAGGAAAGCTCTCCTGGGAGCGGGGCAGATGCAGAAGTTCACCCACAGGCATATGTTATGAGCGTGTGTGTAATACCTCTCACTGCCAGCGGAGGGAAACAAAAACTCCACACTACAGCTTTAAGCATGTGCTCTGACCATGATAGAAAAAAATACAGAACAGCAGCCACATATGTGGGAATAAATAAGCACCAGACGACTGCTGGCTTTAGGCTGCATCAGCATCAAACCAGGCATTAGCATGAAAATGTGACTCCTTCCATTCATCTGAACATAGGTAGTGAGTCTAAGCTGTGGTGGGACACAAAACAAAAACAAAAACATCCACAAACTAGAATTACTGAATTACCGCCTCCGCGCACCAATCAAGTTTCTCTGACAGTTTACATTCATGTCTGTGAAAACATGGAAGCTTCACACACACAGAGGATCTGTGTTTGCAACAACAGAGAGTCTACACAACCATTCCAAGGTACAGAGGTCGTTTATTTAAATAAACATACTGCAAAAGATGAAATAATGCATGTTGAAGTGGTGTGTGTGTAAAACAGAACAAATGGAACAAATGAAAACCAAACTACACCATGTTGGCCATGTGGCTGTCAGCTGCTGTCAGGAAGGAGAGAGCAGGATGACAAACGAGGCCTTTTTATAAGGTGAGACCACACGCTCAGGTGTGGCCAGGAAGATCTGACGGCCCGCCTCTCCAGACACAAGGAAAAAGATAGCTGTGAAGAAACAGACACATTAGCAGGGCTGTCTCAGTACAATCAGCACAGTTTCAAGGTTAGAGTCACCAATTCAGTATGTGGCCAAGGGTTTCTCCTTCTGTTCCTGAGATATGATGTCGACTCATGGCAACGAATGTGTTTTATACAGAATGTTATGATGTTACAGTGAAACTGACCTTTGACCTTTTGGATATAAAATATCACTTCATAATTTTATCCTGGTAGACATGTGTGTGAAGTTTTGTCATAAGTAGCACATGAATTCTTGAGTTATGGCCACAAACATGTTTTGTGAGGTCACAGTGACCTTTGATCACTAATCAGTTCATTCTTCAGTTCAAGTGGACGTTTGTGCCAAATTTGAAGAAACTCCCTCAAGGTATTCTTGAGATATCACGTTAACGACAATGGGACGGACATACGGACAGCCCGACGACATAATGCCTCCAGCTACAGTAGCCTGTGGTGACAATTAGAAACGGAATCAACTTTTTGAGAAACACAACTAGACGTCACGCTGCAGCGGCCAATCGTGTACCCAGCAGTCAAACCAGAAGATACCCACAATCTACAGGACAGTCTTTTTCTATCGTTTAATATTATAGTGAGAAAAATAAATAAAGTATATTTTAACACCTAGTTGTGTACAATCCCAGAAAGGAGAGCACTTGCTTGTGTTTGTGTGTGTGCATGTGTCTTGTTGCAGTACAGACACAGCAGTAATGATAATCAAAAGGAATTCTACAGATCTTTAAAGTCAACATAAACAAACTTAGTGAAGACAAACATTCAATCACTGAGACGGGGAGACTGGGTTTAATCTCTGCACCCTCCACTCTCCTACAAATCAACACTCCCACTCCACCACACAACCCTTCAACTAATCACCACAACGCCTGATTTGGTTTGAATGCAGCCTGAAGAATTTACGACATGCCCAAAACTATGTGAACAACTAAGAAAAATCGTTATACCAAAGCATGCTATGATATTTGAGACAATAAAAATATCACCTCAAACTTTGTCACGTTGAAACAGGAAAGAGACAAACACAGTGTCTTCGTGCACAAAGCCAGCTCCATGTGTGGAAGAACTTCAACCTCAACCCCATCAAACACCTTTGGGAGGAACTGAGACACAAACTGTGAGCCATAACTGAACACCCAAAATCAGTCAGGCACTAGAGATGCACCGATCCAGCTTTTTCAGTTTCGATCCCATTGCTGTGGCTTTGAGTATCAGCTGATACCTGATACCGATCTGATACCATGGTTGACCTAAGAAGCTATAAACCTTTACATGTAGAACAGAAAAGACTAGAGGCATCAGGCATTGATGACTACACAGTTCTCTCCTAAGATAAAATGAAACGAGATGAAACAGATTAATGAAATGATGAACTATTTATTTTTAACAAAAATAAACAATTGTGCAACAGCAGTTGAAACAGTGTGAAATACCTCCACACAGCAGATTCTCTCCTTCGCTCCATGACGTGTGATGTAGCTCATGTCGCAATAGATTTAAAGGAAAAGGATCGCCTCAGGTACAGTTTGCATTTTCTGACACCCGATCCATCTATTTAATGATATCGGGGCCTATATTTAATCCAGATATCGGATTGGTGTGTCCCTATGAGGGACCTCAATCTTGTGTCAGCAGATCCCTGCAACAGTATCAACATGTGGTGGAAAGACTGACACCAGACGGGTGGGGGTGTGAGGTCTGGGTGCCCATATATAGTAACATATTTCTTACACTCTCATGGAGAGCAAACTAATCCTCTTAAATACAATAAAGTCTCCCAAATGAATACCTCAGCTGTAAGTTAGTCCCTGGGCAGCGGGATGCCGACTGCAGTCTGCTGTCCCTGCATCTGCTGCTCTGCTCGGGCCACCTGCTCCTCAGTGCAGCAGTCCTGCAGAAACACAGCGGCCAGGTTGCGCAGGCGGGGGCTCTCTGAGAGGGAGAAGCGCAGCATGCACTGCAGGATGGCTGGGTCAGTGATCTCAGAGCGGGATGACGGCGTTGTGAGGTTCATGAGTGTAGTGATGGCTGACAGGACGGTCTCCTCCCTCTGGCTCGACAGACAATGCGTTACCAAGCTGATCCCGCTGTTCTGCAGGATTATGCGTCGGCATTCAGGGTCCATGCTCAGGTTACACAGCCCCCCTGAGAGCACGACACACAGGCAGAGTGATGATGTTAGGAGGCAGCATTTGCACCATGAAAAACAATGGGAGATAGACAATGATTTATACTGACCCATCCCAAACTCCACAAAGTTTTCATTCTCCTCAGTGAGCACGTCCAAGAAGAGGTCGGTCACCTGCAGCTCCCTCAGATACTCCGTGTTCTTTGGGTCGTACGCAAAGTTGGCCAGGTTAGCCAGCACCTGCTCCTTTGCCTCTGATGAAGTCAAACAAGTTAAATATAATAACTATTAGATTAACTCATTTAAGTCTGTTCTATCAGTCTATCACAAACAAACTGTTATCAGCACACGTGTTGGTTGATAAGTTATGTTAGCATACTGTTGAAAGATATTCCCCTGGATCCCCTCTCCTTCAGGCTGCAGTTTGTAACTTGTATTACAAAAACACATTTGCTGAAACTGTCACTGTATTCACACAGCACTACATGAGACATAAAAACTATCTATTCCCCTGTGATCAGTGTAAAACACTCAGCAATGACTATTTACATTAATACATGTTGCAAATTATTCTGAGGGTTTCTCAGATGTTCAAGACACATTTCAACACAATCCGGTGAAAAATAAGCACTTAGTGAGATTTAAAATAAACATAAAAAGAACTGCAAAGGTCAAAGTTAGAAACCACAAACAAAGATTGATTAAAATGCTGAAATTTAGCTCAAAGTGTCAAAACTTCAAAAATTCAGGACTAAAAGAGTAGCTGGAGCTTCACTCAGCAACATCCCATGAATTTGTTCTTTTTCCCAGGAAAATCCATGACATGAATCAGAAGTCCTGGGTGAGCTGGTGTGGAACAACCCCTGTGCGTTATGAAGAGGGGATAGAATGATTGAACGTGTGCCCCTCTATAACTTTTACTCAAAAAGAAGACACGTCTCCATATTCCAAGATTATTAGGCATGACCTGAGGTACACAAAACTAAATACTGGATGGTAGGGAAGACACTGCATTATAAAGAGGGGATACATTTTGTAGAAGGCTAAGAATGGAGTCTGAAAACTGCGTCCCCCCATTCTGTAACTGTTGCCAGGAAAAAAAGAAATTTCTCCATATTCACCAAAATTATTAGGCACGATCTGAATGCCACAGGCTCGACTGAAAATTATTAGGAACTCTTCTGTTTCTTAGTCTGTCAATCTATTAAATTAGAGTGTGACTTCTCAGTGGGTCAAACACTAAATATTAAAGGGAATTATTCATTTATTCACTTTTCGTAATGCCTGATGTGATTTGTACCATTTGTAATTACGGCTTTGTTGATCAGATAAATGTTGTTTGGTTTATTTTATATTTATGTGTATTCATGTGAAACAGTGGACATGTTGGGACAAAGGACAAATTTTAGATTTGTTTTCTGACAGAAAAGTGAAATCAAATAAATCAAAATAAAATGAGTGAAGGTGGAGCAGAGGCTGTGCATTACAGAGAGGGGACACTGATGTGTTTGGTGACAGACTGAAAATGCAATCTGAATGACTGTGTGTCCCAGAATAAGTTCTGTTGGGAAAGAAGAAACTTCTCCAGATGATGCCTGCTCACCTTGGTGAACATGGAGAATACACTAAATAAAATACCTGACAGCAGGGCAGAGACTGTGCACTGTGAAGGGACACATTGTGTGGCAGACACTATAAAGTAGCTGAAAACAACACGTGAGTAAATGTATTCATTGTCCAGTGTCAGACTGACAGCAGATACAGCTGATCCTGTTGTGTTCTGGTGATGGAGGTTGTTTACGGATCATATCGCGGCCTTTACAGACTAAAACTAGCTGTTTGTTATTTCCAGAGATCCCTCAAGGAGACATTAGTGTTCTCAATGACCTTAAGTCACATAGACAGCTGAATTATAACAGATAACAGTGACTGTAACGTTACTCACCTTCACTGTCGGTGTCCTGAAACTCTGTGACCAGAGTCTGTAAATATTCAAACCGGTCGGAGCCCTCAGACGAGCCCTTTCTCCACATGTTAGCAACAGTAGCTTAGCATTAGCTCAAACAAACTAACGCAACAGCTCCTGTGTTCTCTTAAAACTAAGACGAAGCAAATCAACTTCAACAAATTACACTATCTAATGCATAAGCTCAACATGAGCTCCGGTGTTCACCCACATTCAGACGGAGAGCTCAAACTAACAATGCATTAGCTTAGCATTAGCTCCTGCTGCTACGACCAAACAAACCAACTCTAACAAAATAAGCTAATAAATGCATTAGCTTAGCATTAGCTCCTGTTGCTACGACCAAACAAACCAACTCTAACAAAATAAGCTAACAAATGCGTTAGCTTAGCATTAGCTCCTGTTGCTACGACCAAACAAACCAACTCTAACAAAATAAGCTAACAAATGCGTTAGCTTAGCATTAGCTCCAATGTTCCCCCAGATTCAGACGGTTATATCAAACAAACTGACCTAAACAGATCAAACAAACTTTTTAAATGTGGGTTCACTTTCCGCCATTTCCTGTTTTGATCCGTCCCTTTAATGTGTCCGTACAAGAACAAGCTCCCGCCTACTTTATCCGTTTTAAAATAACTTGTAACATTAATAATATTGTTCTGACGACCAAATTTAAAACATATTAAAACACCTAATATATTCTGATGTGCGTGATTAAATGTGTACTTTTTAAGATTATATAATTTAAGATGATAAAAAGCAGGAAACGGAAGTGGTGTTACGCGAGTAAGTGCCCGACACGAAGGAGGTATGTAACGAGCAGTTATCATTAAAGGTCAAGTAAAAATCACATGTAGGTTATTTTACTGTTTATATTCCGGCCTGTGGCCTTTTCTCTGGACACTCAGGTAAAATGAAGCCGCGCCAGCTGTCCCCTAAAAAGCGTCTGACCAAACCAATTTTATTTGGGACACTAATTGTGGGACTGGCAGCTGCTTTCTTTAACAGGTGAGTTATGAGTTATCGCATGTTGTGTGTTTTACTGCAATAATTGTCATTTGGAACTGTCAGGCTCATAATACTGAAGGGCAGCATAGAGCTGTAGTGTTTTCTGATGCACCTCGGTTCACTTCCCTTCACCCAGCTGACCTGTAACTGCTCCTGCTGCCTGTCCCTCATTCATCTTTAAACACAATGCAGCTGTATGTGTGCAGAATGAAACTGTGTTTAAAGGTGGTGTAATAGTTCTGCTTTTGTTTGCAGTATGATTAAAAAGATTGATCGACTGATTATTAAAATAGTTGCAGTTTAATTTCATGTGGCTCACCTGATGATGTCAGTTCTCTCTGAATCTGTGAACAATAATAATAAAGAGCTACTCCAGGGATTTATAATCATACTTTAAGTTCTGAGACAGATTTTTTTTTTTTTTTTTTTCAAAAAAGACCAAAGTTAAAGCAGCACAGGATAAAATAATGTGACTCTTTGTCCATACTTCCTGATCAAGCTCCAAATGTTTGTCATTAAAAATAAGTCGTCCCCAAACTGAGACCAAAGTGTCCAAAAATTCCCAAATAGTTCAAAAACAAAAGATAAATAGTTTACTGTTAGACACATAAGACAAACACAAACTGCAAATTCTCACATTCAGAAGCTTGAACCAGCAAATATTTGGTGTTTGTGTTTTAATAACTGGTTCAAACAGTTGATCAGTTATCAGAAGAGTCACAGATTCACTTTCTGTTGATCGATTAATTAGTTTCAGCTGCATACAGCTTAAAACTACCAAAAAAAAAGAGTTTTCCAATATATAATAACACTTCCTCCTCCTCCTCCTCCTCCTCCTCCTCCTCCTCCTCCTCCTCCTCCTCCTCCTCCTCCTCCCTGCAGGCACAGGTTCTTTGTGGATGTGGAGGAGCTCAGGGCTCAGGAGCGAGCTCGCAACGAAGCCAGGAGGGTGGAGATCCTGGAGAGAAGGATGAAGCAGATAGAAGAGGTGGCCGAGAAGAAGAGAGGAGGGAGCTGAACTGACACTGAGCTCAGGACTCTGTCTCAAGACTTTACAGATGTGGACATTAGATCCTACTGTACGCAGCCTGAAGACATCTGGACTGGAGACACCTGTCTGTCCTGCAGGAAGCCAAACTGTTTGTGTTTTGATAAACGAAGCATTAGTGGATGAATTTGTGATAATTCATAAACATTAATGAGAATGTACTTTTCTATTTTGTGTCTGTTTTGAGGCATCATGAATATTAATAATTAAATGATCAAAGTGCCAAAATCTGCTCCCTGTTGCATGTACTTACAGTTTCACCCAGCAGAGGGCAGTGTTGATAAAACAAGGCCATATTGAAAAGGCCATATTGGTGTTTTTGCAAGTTTAGCTCTCAAAATATAAATCAGACATGCTTTACGTTTTTCTACCAATTTCAGTGCACTCTACAGAGTTTAAAGGGATAGTTCACCCAAAAATGTAAATTCAGCCATTATCTACTCACCCATATGTCGAGGGAGGCTCAGGTGAAGTTTTAGAGTCCTCACATCACTTGCAGAGATCCAAGGGGAGAGGAGGTAGCAACACAACTCCACCTAATGGAGGCTGACGGCGCCCCAGATTCAAACGTCCAAAAACACATCATTGAAACCACAAAATATCTCCATACTGCTCGTCCGTAGTGATCCAAGTGTCCTGAAGCCCCGACATAAAAAGTTGTTTGGAAAAACTTCATTTGAACTTTGTTTTTAGCCTCATTGTATCCTGTAGCTCTGACTGCCTCTCTGGGCACTGAGCTCATGTGTGTGTGCTTGCATGCGAGACCAGGAAAGCACGTGAACACATATGAACACGGTGCCCATGTCTCACGGTCTCATGCAAGCACACACACGTGAGCGGAGATATTTTGTGGTTTCAATGATGTGTTTTTGGACGTTTGAATCTGGGGCGCCGTCAGCCTCCATTAGGTGGAGTTGTGTTGCTACCTCCTCTCCCCTTGGATCTCTGCAAGTGATGTGAGGACTCTAAAACTTCACCTGAGCCTCCCTCGGCATATGGGTGAGTAGATAATGGCTGAATTTTCATTTTTGGCTGCACTATCCCTTTAAGACTTTTTAGCTTATCTGTTGGCCCACACATTTTACAGCGGAGACTTAAAACTTGCTAGTGACGTCTAATCCCTCACAACATCAGGCGTGTATTAAATTTTGTCTATGACATCACTGATTTTCAAATCAACGGTTGAATTATAACTCACAGAAATTAATGCTGATTTAAAGTTTGTTACACAATTCAAGGAAGTTTTAAAAGACTGCTGATTGATTTTCATTTCATAATCCAAAAATTCTGATGTGGAGGCAGAATTATTTGATAGTAATTATAAAATAATAATAATAATAATAATAATACTAATAAAACCATGGACAAAAAGATGCTGAATAGCTCACCTGGTGGAGCAGGTGCCCCATGTGCATAGACTGTGTCTTTGCAGCAGCGGCCCTCAGGTCAGTTCCAACCCACGGACCCCTGCTGCATAAAACAAAGGCTAAAGAAGCCCAAAAAAGTAAAATAAAATGAAAATACTCTCTAAATGTTTCAGAACTACAGCACAAGAGTAAATATATGTTCCTGTTTGCAGAATCAACAGCTGTTTCATGTTTGATATATTTTATCCCAGACTTTGTGTGTTCCTTTGATCTCCAGTCTTCAGCATATTAAACGAGTGAACTCAGAGGATAAGACACATTAAAAGAATCCATCAAACGTGAACCATGTGGAACGTCTTCTAGTGATGAAACAATGAACTGAAAAATAATCATCAGCACCAGCTTTAATAACTGATTCATTGTTTTAAGTCACTTATAAATGAATCAAATGCTTTCAGATTCTCAAATGTTTGGATTTTCTGCCTTTGTCAAAATGAACTGAGTATTTTTGGGTTTTAGTTTAACGAGCGGACAAAAGAAGCAATTTGACAAAGTCATCTTTGGCTCTGAGAACTTTTTGTTTCACTTCTGACATTTTGGAAACTAAACAAATCATTAAAAATACAGATAAACAGAGACTGAAAGTAGAGTTACAGCCTATGATTCATCTTCTGACTGCTTCCTCAATTAATCATTAGGTTTGTGAAAGATCCAAAAGTAGAAAACAAAAAATGCTCACCATAATTTCTCAAAGCCGCTGTGACGTCTTCAAATCGCTTGTTTTGAAACAAACAAACTGAAACTCAAAGAAAGTCATTTTACGATCATGTAAAACAAAGAAACAGCAAATATTGACATGTGAGAAGCTGCGACTGGAGAACGAGATGAGATTTTGCCTGAAACGATGAATCAATTGTCAAAACAGTTGAGTTGTTGCAGCTCTAGTTGAAAGCAACAGTCACAGTCAAAACTGATTGAAACATTCACAGATGCAGTAGAATTACACCTTTTATTAAAACATGCCGTAAAAGAAATCTGAAATAAATTAAACCCACAAACTATAACAAACAGGCAATATTGCACTCCAATGAAAAAGAATAAAAAGTGCTTCACTTGCCGAGTGTCGAGTCACAAGTCAAAGGTTTTAAAATGGGGTAAAACACTTTGAATACAGGAAACAAGATGCTGGTTAACTGGTCCGAACACTACGACAGCTCCCCTTCAATGGCCGCCTAAAAATAAACGATCAATATGACCAATACTGTACACGTCATGTCACACAGCTCAGAGGACAGATGGTGTGTTGTACTCACTACACGGACACAAAGACACAAAGACTCCCCTTCCCTTCCAGATGCAATAAAAACAGGGGTTACATGAGATAATGTGTAACACATGAACCTGTCAGGCTCACATGCTGCACATGTTGGAGCATCAATAATTGATGGAGGCCATGTGGCACATCATCCAGGACATCTGCACATCAGCCAACTGCTCCTTCTCCAGTCATAGTGTCAGCAGGTGGGTGTGAGTGCACTCAGCTCAAGTTATTGCTCGTTAATGTTGTTGAAAAAGCTGTTTAAATATTTTAAAAAACCTTTAATTGCATAATATTTCCCTTTTTAGATATACGGTGCACACGTTTTACAAATCAGAGTGAGAGCTTTAAGAACCCTTTAAATGTGTCCCGAGCAGTCAGGTGAGGCACCGTTCTGTACGAGCCAGTGAGCCGACAGCAGAAACAGTAACACAAGAGATATACAGACAGAGACCCACAGCTACAGTGCAACAGAGACGGCCCCGGGTGACAGTACACCAACCAAGATTTACAGTATTTGTCTGAGGCCTTTTCTTCTTTACATGTCGAGGCGACGAGTGTGTTGGGCTTCACGTCACACAGCGAGGGGCACTAAGCCTGCAGAGGAGGCGGCGGGAGGGGCCGTGATGGCTGTCAGGGCGCCAGGTTTCAGTCCGTTCACCGTCCTGCTGCAAAAAAGTTACAAGAGCTGCATCAAACCAGGAGCCTGTGGCCGACATCTGTGCATACATGGATCAACCCACCACCAGCCACTGACAACATGTATTTGATGAAGTTAAATACAATTCAACTGAAAGCTGCAATAATGAAACAAGCTGGTTTACACGGAGCTCATTTCTG